CTGGGAGTATCGTGTAGACTGCCACGGCACGGTAGCGACCTCGATATTCTCGCGAAGTGCTGAGCTTGTAACTCTGGCACGCTTAATCCTAGTAGTCTGTTCGCCGGTGGGAGTTTGGAATGGCTGCAGAAACTCGTAGCGGTGGGCTCAGATTCTTTCATTCATCCCCGGAGTGTGGAAACTGGTAGATTTCACCTTTATCATAGACTTGCAGTGCATAGTCAAAGTAACGAACCCAGAAGTGCAGCATGCCAATGCCATCGATAATATCATTGTGAGCCGGGAGAGCGAAGTTCACTTGGATGCGGTCGTCTGACGAGATCGGTCGTTTACTAGAAATAATGTTGGCAGCTTCGGAACCAGAGGGTCTGCATTGAATTTTTTCCTGGTCTGTCATGGCAAATAGGTGCGTCCGCAGCATATGATTTGCCGAGAGAGGTATAAAAATGTTCCACTTCATCGAGATCTCATTCCCATCGGTTCGATTTGGACTGTTCCCAAACGAATCGAACGTACGAAGCAGTAATTTTGCAACTGTTCGCGGTTCGACCGCGAAGATAAGGACAGAAGGATAATTATTGTCCTTTGGAGATGATTGATGGATCGCCAAAATACACCTGGAGGAACCTCAGACAAGCGTGGCATATTCAGGGGTGTCATTCCGGGGAAGGAGATTCATTATAGCCCTGTCGCCGGCTATAAGTTGGAATGATTGTCTTCGCATATGTATCTGAAAATTATACTTCGTCTCATCGGATCTAGATGCGGGACTCAAGCAATGTATAGCTGTACATTTCGATATTGACTATCCACGGTATGTTGACTATAGGCTCAGAAGATTAGAGACTGTATTCTATAAGGAGAAGCTTGCGTGTGAATCATGTCGCACATATCTTTTATTCCAGAATGAAACACAGACAGCAAATTTTCAGGGACATTGTATATAAATCTACGTGAGCCATGGGTTTCCGGTGCTGGCTTTATATCTCTTTAAAGTAGATATCGCATTATGAGCCTGAACAACAATTACAGCACCGCAAAAGAAAAAGGCAATCAGGTGCTGCAACATGGGGAGTTTGACAAAGATGCCATGAATGAAGGCTTTTGGCAGCTGAACTGTGGGGTAGCATTCATGCTCAAATCCTCGGCCGCCAGCGGATGTAATGAGCTTGATCAATAACCTACTGAGTCTCTTAGAATATAAGCTTACCTGAACTTATTGACAGCGGCCACATTGGTGCTATAATCCTGATTTCTGCGTACTGCCTAGTTACTAAGAACATGGCCGGTGCCGATGACCGTAAAAGGTCGGAATCGGCTGTATCGTCATTATCGTCGTGGTAATTGTCCAGGCCATTCTACCCACTTTTCAATTATTTGGGCTCTGCCTTGTACCGGAAAGCTTCCAATGGGACATCGCCTTCGGATGGTCAGAGCAGACGCGAACAATCATAATCAAATATCATGCAAACGAAGATAAACAGAATAAAACAGTCAATTCTGGCTCCTGGAATATGTCAGAGGCTACTCACAGGGAAATCTCTCAGGAATCTCAATCGGTTTGGAAGTCCTTTTTCAGGATCAAAGAGAATCTTCGACAATTGACCATTTGTATTTTGATCGATATCATAACAGAATGGGCAGGGAATGGTAGGTCATTCACAGTCTCGACAATTCAGTCATTCTTACAGATAGGCAGGTATAATCTCGTACTAACTCGTACCAATCCTAAACTCGATTGTCATATCTAGCCCCCAGCACCAAACAGCCATCAATCACGGCCTCCAGTTGTGAATACTCTGTGCCGCTGCAGGTGCATTAGCGTGTGACCGCTTTGGAAGATGTCGTCTGTGGCTTGTCTCAACGTCCTCCATGTTCCTGTGTCTCTCTCCCCGCGTATGATGTGGTCTATATACCTTTGTTTATCGCCTACTCTCTCAAGTCCATGCCTTTATCTCTTTGCTCCAAGGATCTTGCAGTGACGCTCTTTACCAATGCCACTGCAGCGTTCTTCAACCAGTGTGAATCCGATTGCGTTTGGCCGGATCGAATGGAAATTGTATTTGGTGTATCTTGCGTGTCTGGTAGTTTGGCATGTCTTAATAATCTACCTTATCTTCCCTGAGGCAGCAGGTCGGGTGTTGGAAGATATTGCTGCTATGCTTGATGGAGAGGATTCTATCAACTTGGAGTCCTCCGTAGAGTCCGAATCTATGCAAAATGACAAGATGGATTGAGATACGAGTTGCATAGTAAATATCTCAGCGGCTTTACAGAGTACTACGTAGCTCTATGCAAGCGATCAATCAACCATAGCGCTTAGGATCTTTATGCTGGAGGTATGGTGAGCAAGTTGAGGGCAATCTCCTAGACCAGATAACTCAGCTAGAAGAGATATGTTCACGGGGGGGTTATGTAATTTTATTATACAAAGACAACAATAATAAAGCCGAATGTATATACGTCCCCAAATGAAAATCTTATAATTGGTAGCTGAAACCCAATAAAACCAAGTTTGCTTCAATGTGAGCGCATTTAGGGTTCTTCGTCGTCGGTGATCGCGACGGGACCGTGCACGTCCCACTCATGTAAGCGCGCGTCACGACGCGTCGAGCACCCAAGCTCAATTCTACCCGTTTGAGACGAGCTTTCAACAACGATATACAGAAGAGCGAACACTGAATACTAAGGCGTAATTATGGCTCTACTAGTTGACAAGCTGCGTCCACGAAGTTTGGAATCTCTCTCCTACCACCATGATCTTTCTGACCGGTTGAGGTCTCTGGTAGGAACACCTCAAAGCATCGTATCACAACGAGAACTGGCTGACACTCTCATAATAACACTACAGGCACAAAGCGGTGACTTCCCCCATCTCCTCGTATACGGACCATCTGGGGCCGGAAAGAAAACTCGGATCATCGCGACACTCAAAGAACTATATGGCCCCGGAGTTGAAAAGATCAAGATTGACGCCCGAGTCTTCCAAACTACAAGCAACCGAAAACTCGAATTCAACATCGTATCTTCAATCTACCACCTCGAAATCACCCCCTCGGATGTCGGAAACTATGACCGGGTTGTGGTCCAGGAATTACTGAAGGAAGTCGCACAGACGCAGCAGGTCGATCTCTCCGCGAAACAACGGTTCAAGGTCGTTGTGATCAATGAGGCGGACCATTTGACACGTGATGCGCAGGCGGCTCTGAGACGGACCATGGAGAAATACAGTCCCAACATGCGATTGATTCTTCTGGCCAATAGCACCTCGAATATCATCGCGCCTATTCGCTCCCGTACCCTGCTGGTCAGGGTTGCTGCGCCGACGGAAGAACAGATTTGCACGGTTCTAAAAACTGCAGGCAAGAAGGAGGGGTGGAATGAGGCGACCGAGCTCAACAAGAGGATAGCAAAGGAGAGTGGACGGAATCTTCGACGGGCGTTACTTATGTTCGAGGCAATTTACGCTCAAAGTGAGAAGGTGTCGGACAGCACCCCAATTCCCCCACCGGATTGGGAAGCTCTTATTTCTTTGACGGCAGAAGAGATCCTCGCGGAGCGATCACCTGCTCGATTGTTGCAGGTTCGCGCGCGGTTATATGACCTGTTAACCCACTGTATACCACCTACGACTATTATCAAGACGTTGACATTCAAGCTCGTTACCAAGGTTGATGATGCCCTCAAGCCAGACGTCATCAAGTGGTCTGCCTTTTACGAACATAGAATCAAGCAAGGCACTGTAAGTTCCCTAAAGAATCAATTAATGAAGATAGTCCTGACACACTATACAGAAAGTGATATTCCATCTGGAGGCTTTCGTAGCCAAGTTCATGCGCATCTATGAAAGGTTCGTCTCTTATCTATAGAGGTGTTCAAAAAACATCTGCTGACATTTAGGATAGTTATCTCATGGGCATGGACTTCTAAGCCAAGAAATAATGAATAATGATTGTATAATATCATGTCCTAGCATTTGAAGAAAGAGAGCATCATTATACTAATTCAAGTTCGTCGTTTCTATTCCAATTACCATAGCGGTACAGGCTTAAGCTGTGTTCATGTAAAACAGAGAAAAAAAGGCTGAGGTCACATACAAGCTAGAACTATTTGTGTCAAGAACAATCACCCCTAAAATACATCAAGTTACAACATGGGACGAACTACGTCATACCTCGCAACCGGACATATATAGAGCCTACACATCACTATCATGCGGCGAGGCATCACATTCAAAACAATCCATTGAATTCAACTTAAACCATCAAGTCGCATTATTTGCACTCGTGTAATACATTCCACAATGCCCAACCCTCAGCTTCTCGACATTGAACCCGGTGGGGAGAACACGCAGTATGCTACCCCGATACCTACGAATTCATCAGGAATTATGTGTTGCGTTGACTGAATCTAACAATTGCAGATATGAATCTACGCATACCTTCGTTGAGCCTCCAGAAAAGCAGACTGGCCAGCTAGGTGGTGGGTGTTGCTACAGTAATCACCGAGAACAATAACTAACCGGAACCCCAGCCGGCGAGGAGCACACCAAGAGCCAGATGAAAACTACTTTCAGATCTGGTGAGCACAAAGACGAGGATTTGAAAATGGCTCGTCAGCTGGAAACCGGTGAACCCGGAGGTGGATTGCGAGGTGAAACGGATAAAGGTATGTTGTTTTGTATTCATTTCCCTTTTGTCGAACTCCTCGTGGCAAAGTCATCTGCATAAAGACAATACATGAAAAAGAAAACATGTCAGAAGCTGACAGTAGTGTACAAAAGATTTGAAGCCCGAGAACCAAGCCCAAGAGGGTAATGATAGAGTAGCGGCGAAGACGAGAAATCAACAAAGGTATGGGCCCGGCTCAGGAGTTGGAGCTTAACATCGGCGCGGTCGTGTAATAAAGGCATGAGAAAGGCGACTTATGGAAGCGAAAGAGGTTTATTGGGAGGAGGATGGGTTGGACGTGACCGACTTGGGTCCTGTGGTTTCGGCGTCCGTGCCGAGAGGCGGGTTTCTGCGTGGGCGCTTGAGGCTTTCTAAAGTGACTCCGTTTCCGAGCTTCGTCAGGCCGACCACAGGGGGGTCGCCCTTCTTGACAAATTCCCAAAGACCTGCAATCAACATGTATTAGTACCAGTAGCTTCATACCCATTTATTGCAACATTGGAAACATACCGGGCAACTTGTGACCTGCCAAACGGAATGCCTCCCTGGCGACCTTCTCGTGGACTTTCCCGCTAAGCTCAAAGACCACCCGGCTCACGGCAACCTTCGCCGTCCAATAGTCGAACTTTCCCTTACCCTTACCCATACGCTGTTCGTTACCCTTGGTGTACACACCAATGTTGGCGCTCACACGCTTGTACAGGTTGTAGTCCATCCCACGTAGTCTCCGCTTGATCGTTTCCTCTGCGATTCTGAGGTGTAGAGCCGGTACTCTGCGGTCGTGGTCTTTCATGCGCAATCCATAATCCCCCCACACAACAGTCGTACCCCGAGTAGAACCACCGGTGGCGACATGCGGACGACCTTTTGGCGACTTAGATCTTTCCGCGAATTTAGGCGTAAGCCAGTCGAGCGCGGGGGATGTGGTAGAGAAGCATCGCGAGAACGGAATGGCAGCGAACGGCGTTGTCAAACCTATTGCCGTCTCGAGCGTCAGTGTTTGTGAAAACTTTTCCCTTCCAAGGACCTCATGATTTCTCACCAGTAGGTCGAAAAGAGGCCAGCTGAGGCCCTCCAAACATCTTCATATGCAGACCCATTGTGGCCGTGAATATTGGACTGTCTATCGGCTAAAGCGATGGTTAATGAATCTTGAATAACTTCTGGATTATCGGCATATCCGCATCTCCGATTCCGGACCTAAAAGGGTAATAATACCACGCACGGACTACACGCGTGTTTCTTATGTAATCTGCTGCCTTCACGTCGCCAATCCAGGCAGGCGCGTCACTCTGCCGTGTTCTTAATAGAAGAGCTTGATACATTGCTCTTTGGGCATTTCTGTTGTTGATTCATTTTGGAATATATTTTGGAGCTACAGGGGATGCTTGCTTTGGAATGAAATACCATGCCTACCGATATTAGGAGTTTCTTTGGCAAACCTAGCCAAGGGTCTGACTCGTCGCCTGCGAAACCGCCGACGAAAAAAGAGGTATGTTGTTATACCTCCCTCGGGGGTACTCTGTCGTATTGCTAACATTGATTGGATTCAGGATTCGACTGCGACGAGAAAAAAGCGTATGGATCGGCCTAATTTCTAGAACCAGTGGGTTAAGCTAAGGGAAACATAGGCAGCAGAAAGGTTGTGGACGACAGTGACGACGAGGAGGTAGCTGAGACCAAGGCACCGACACCAAAAGCTAAAGCCCCAGCTAAGTCGTACGTCGTGCAGCATGTTTTCAAACTCCTCTGGCTGTTACTGACATTGGTGATTTGAAGAAAGCCCGAACCGGCCAAAGGAGAACCCACGTCGACATCAGATTACTTCGGCTCTAGTAAGAAGAAAAGCCGGTCCACGAAACCGAGCAATGAAACTCCTACCGCTACACCCCCGGCTACGAAGGAAAAGCCAGCTAGCGATCGCAAAGCCGGAAGTCCCCGAAAAGCGAAAGAAAGGCCAGCTGTTGAAGTCTCAATAAAACCAACAAAACGCGCACCCCGGGAAACTACGAAGAAAAGCAAGGCTGCTGACGATGATGAGGGTCTTGGCGGCGACGATATATTTGCGACGGAGTATGGAAAATCGGGCAAACGCGACGATGACTATATGGAGGGCGACAGCGATAATGATAGCGACCTCGAAGAGCTGGCTGTAAGGCCGGCAACAGCAGCTACTGGAAAGACAGCGCGTGGCAAGAAAGCCTCTAGTGCTGAAGAGGATGACGACGTGGTCATGGAGGATATTCCGAAATCCTCTTCAAAAGCCTCGAAATCGACAGCTGAACGACCTGCGCGCAAGCGGAAATCTGAGGTACTTGATAAAGCAGATGAGACACAGGACGATACGAAGAAAAAAGCGCCAACTTCCTCAGTCCCATCGACAAAGAAATCAAAAGCATCTCCCACCAAGCAAGCTCGGCCGGAAAGCAAAGAGATTCAAGATATCTTTGACAGCATTCCGATGATCAAACCTCCCTCGCCTCCTCCAAAGGGTGATGAAAAGAAGAAATTCAATTTCGCTGCTCAGCGATCAAGAACACCTCCGGGTGGTGGATCTGCCGAACTACCAGAGGGCGCTGAGAACTGTCTTGCTGGGCTTTCTTTCGTTTTTACCGGTGTACTTGAGGTGGTAGGTCGCGAAGAGGGTCAAAATTTGGTAAAAAAGTACGGCGGCAAGGTTACTGGTGCCCCTAGCTCAAAGACAAGCTACGTTGTCCTGGGTAGTGATGCCGGGCCCAGCAAACTGGCGACAATACAAAAGCACAAGCTGAAGACTATCAATGAAGAGGGACTTTTTGAGCTGATTAGGCGACTTCCTGCGAATGGCGGTGATGGAAAGGCGGCTGAGAAACATGATGTTAAGAGGAAGGCTGACGAAGAGAAAATCCGTGCCATGGCTGCTGAGATTGATCAGGAAGAGTCGCGCAAAAAGAAGGCCATGGCGGCTGCTGCCCCTAGTCCTTCTAGTGCTCAGGGTCCAGTGGCTTCTCAAGGCGTGAAGGTGGACGACCGTCTCTGGACAACAAAATACGCACCGACGTCAATCAACATGATTTGTGGCAACAAAGCGGCTGTCGAAAAACTCCAGAACTGGCTCCGTGACTGGCGGAAGAATGCGAAAACGAACTTTAGCCGTCCCGGAAAAGATGGTTCTGGTAAATACCGCTCTGTTATGATCCATGGACCTCCAGGAATTGGTAAGACTACTGCGGCGCATATGGTGGCTAAGCTTGAAGGTTACGATGTATTAGAGTCCAATGCCAGTGACACCAGAAGCAAGAAGCTTGTGGAAAATGGTCTCCTCGGCGTCCTAGACACTACCTCTCTCCAGGGATATTTCTCGGGCTCCGGTAAGAAAGTCGAGAGTGAAAAAAAGAACATGGTCCTGATTATGGATGAGGTGGACGGAATGTCGGCAGGCGATCGAGGTGGTGTCGGCGCTATGGCTGCAGTTGCGAAGAAAACGCAAATTCCTCTCATTCTCATTTGTAACGAGCGAAGGCTTCCGAAGATGAAGCCATTCGATCACGTCACGTATGAGGTTCCTTTTAGGCGCCCAACCGCTGACCAAATCAGAGCTAGGTTGTCTACGATCTGCTTTAGAGAAGGCTTGAAGATCCCACCTCCCGTTTTGGACGGTTTAATCGAAGGTACCCATGCCGATATCCGTCAAGTTATCAACATGCTCTCAACGGTGAAACTTGACCAGCAGAATTTGGACTATGACAAGGGCAAGGAGATGTCTAAAGCATGGGAGAAGCATGTGATACTGAAGCCGTGGGATATTGTTGGCAAGATTCTCAACTCTCAGATGTTTTCTCCCAGTTCGAAGTCCACATTGAACGACAAGATTGAACTTTACTTCAATGACCACGAATTTAGCTACCTGATGCTTCAGGAGAACTATTTGAAGACGAAGCCAGTGCTTGCCAATAATTATCAGGGCAAGGAGCAGAAACTGAAGATGCTTGAACTCGCAGATAATGCGGCTTCCAGCATCAGTGATGGCGACCTTGTTGACAGAATGATCCATGGCTCGCAGCAGCAATGGAGCTTAATGCCAACGCATGCTGCTTTCAGTTTTGTTCGTCCAGCTAGCTTCTCCTACGGAAACATGATGGAACGCCCGGGGTTTACTAGCTGGCTGGGGCACAATAGCAAGCAAGGTATGCTTCTTTTTCCTTTTTATCTGAGTCAGTTTTGTTGACATAGGAATCCAGGGAAAATGTCGCGCTATGTCAAAGAGATTCAGGGCCACATGCGGCTCCGTTCTTCTGGCGATAGGGATGAGATCCGGCAGCAATACATGCCGCTGGTCTGGGAGAAGTTGGTTCGCCGGCTGCAGAACGAGGGCAAAGACAGCGTGGAGGAAGTTATCGATTTCATGGACAGTTACTTCCTGACCCGCGAGGACTGGGATGCTCTTCTCGAGCTTGGGCTTGGGCCAATGGATGAATCTACCGTCAAGCTTGAGACCCAGACCAAGGCTGCATTCACGCGTGTATATAACCAGCGCTCGCATCCTCTACCGTTCATGAAGGCTAGCAACGTCGTGGCACCGAAGAAGACGCCAAAGGAGAAGCCTGACATTGAAGATGCGATCGACGAGTCGGACGAAGAGGAGGTGGTCGAGGAGGAGTCGAAGGAACAGGATGAGGATGAAGAACTTGATCTGAAGAAGGACAAGTATGTCAGTTTGCCGAAGAAGAAGGCTGCGGCCGGCAAAGGGAAAAAGGGCAAACAGAAAGCTGCGGATGACGATGAGGCGGGGGAGAAACCGAAGAAAGGAAAGGCCAGACAGCCTAAAGCTAAGGCTTGATCTTCTTGATATTGTTGAGTGTGTACATTTTGGCGTCCTTAGTGCTTTAGGAGTTTTTGTCTCAGCTGCATATGTGCATGTCCTCCCAGCCAGGACTTATGGGTGTATTTATATGTTCCTACATTTACTAGATTTTGTAACCGTCCTATATCATGTCAGTATGCACAGAGCCAAAGGAGGTCCTTCAAGAGTAAACACATCAGGATTGATCAAGAAGAAAATCGAAGGCGGAGTGGAGGGTTGGTTTTGGATATGCCCGTAGTCTCGTCCCACATTCGTGGCCCACCTCAAGAAGCCAAATCCATTTTAAAGACTCTCGCACTCGAGAAATGATCGATAGTGACCAACAAGATACCGTGCAGCATATCGTCGAAGTTCGCGTATGTGATCGAACCCGCCTGGTGAACACCCCCCAAGATACTTCTGCGTTGCGGCATCATAAACATGCACGCCACGCCACGAGCAGCGTGCTGGCATACGGCCATTTGCCATTGTGTAACATTCTTAGACAGAAGAGTCACAGTTGGCAGATGATGAACAATTCCAAAGAGAACGTAGAAAAACCGACGGACTAGTCCTCCGCCCGGATCGGAATAACGGAATAACTAGCACGCTGATTATATGCTACTTATACACCTCTTCGCATCTTCGCAGGCTGGTGTTCGCTAAGCCAGGCTGGTCCTGGTTGATCCAAACTCATTCTTTTCTTGCCTCCTCATCTTTCTATCGTGTACAGTGGGCGCTCGCCATCCATTCTCTTACAGCTTCGAAAGACCATGCCCTCTACGCACTGACGGTGGGCTGTCTATCACATCAATACAGATCGGCTCAATCCTGATTCCTACTTGATCGCCTCTTCTTATTTATATATATCCTCTGAGAGTTATCCTTATCCCCACCGAAAAGATGTCGCTCCTTCATAACGAAGAGTATGTCCCGCGCGCGTTCACCCCTCCTTTTTCACTCCTCATGCCTCTTCGGGGTACTAATTCAGGTGCTTTTGGATAGTTTCGCTATCTGGCAGCTCCGAACCTCGTACCTGTCCACAATAAAAGATGGAATCGGAGACCGTCTAATCAACGTCAACAATTCCGTCCTCAACACGCCCGGTTTCCGCGCAGCGGGCTGGTCCTCGGCTTCTGCGAACCCCTACACCCAAATAGCCGCTGCACATATCAAGCGGACATATTCCCCGCCGATTCCTACGACGACTCTTTCCGGCGATTATTATCGGTTTGGTGCGAATAAGGAGTTGGCTGATGGCGGGTTGGGGGAGGATGGGGAGGATGAGGAAGGGGGTATGGTGACAGGTAAGAG